CCCCCCCCTTCCATCCCCCTAGATAGGATGCTAGTCCATTGCAGGGTTATCCCCAACATTTAATTCGCCAGTACCCATCTGTACATGTGGGTGGAGAAAGGCACCATGAGAGTTAAGTGTCTTTCCTATTAACACAACATGATGTCCCCGACCAGAGCTAAAACCCAGACTGCTTGATCTGGAGTGTAGTGCACTTATATGTACATGTACCATGAAGCCACCACACCTCACTGCAGACTGCAAACCAGGGGTAAAATGCAGACTTTTTAACTGACTCATGTTTATTTTACCATTTCCATAACTGAGAGCTAAACATAACAGGGCTACATGTAACCAGAGCATTTTCCAGACTACCTTGTGTAATATTCAGGCTAACTGGGGTGATATTCAGGCTAACTGGAGTGTAGCCTTCCACTAAAACAATTAGTCTGAATAACCCTGTTTACGGTTAGCAATCCATAATGGAAATAATACGATATATAGTTAACAAGACTCTAGTCTGCCGTCTGCATTTTACCCGCAGTCTGCATTTTATCCCTGGTCTGCAGTCTACATGTTACACTGACCGCTTCTAAACACGTTTTAGCGCTACTTATTCTACCAACACTACCCTTACAATACGCTTATAACTATGGCTTACCTCTAGAGGTTTTAGCTTTTTATGTTTCGTTGGCGGTCCTAGCTGTTCCCGTGAAGGCGGAGTGGGATTCTGTGTCAAACTGTTCAAAATGTCATCGGGAATGAAATCATTAATTCCTGTTAGAAACGTTTTATCTCGGTCCAAGATATCGCTTCTACCACCTAAATCAACGATTTCATGTCTTTTTTCCTCCGTATGAGGCTTTCCACCTTCGAGTATTGGCAAAACACACGGTGTACTAGGAGTCTTTGCAAGTTTGTTTTTGGTCCTAGAGGCTCGCGTAGAACTTTCCCCAGGAGAAATGTGCGGTGATTCACTTGGTTTCACCGCTGTGGAGACGCTCATCCTCACAGTTGAAGAGTGAAAAGTATTAGTGAATCAAAATAACGTAAGTAGTTGATGGTCCGAAAAGTTAACACAAGAAAAGGCTTCCAAAATATTTACAAGGTCAAACTCTAAATTGTCATCCGCCATGTTTTTCACTCCTTTGTAATGTCCCATGTTGCCACTGGTTACGACAGGCTCTCTTGTCTCCAAGCCCTCACGACTATCGTGGTCGCGCTCGCGCATTTACGCGCGCGTTATTTTGAGCAATCCGAAAGCAAAACAAAATTTTAAATGTTGCCGACATAATTTTGCAAGAGAATCCAAAAGCTATAAAGCGTGTGTCACAATAAAAGTTACGCATTTATAGAAAAGCCGAGGTTTATCTGTTGGTACTTTTTTATGTTATTCTGTATTTTTTTTTAGGAATTTTAAACACAAGCAACTTCACGGAAAATTGGCATTGCATTCTCTTCACTTTGTTGACCGTCATTAAGGTAAATAGTTACCCATCTTTCAGCTATAATTGGGAGAGTTTTTTGAGCACAAATCATAAGCATAACGTTGTTAAAATTCGTGAGTAATGTGAACGATCACACATCACACGTGCTTAATTTTTTTTCCCACTTTATATCATCTAATGCAATTTTCTAGGCCATCCACAGTTCACACTATGCCGGATGAATTTAAAAATGGAGGTTTTACTCTGAAAACGAATCGCACTACGCCAGAGGAATTTAAAAACGCAACAATCATCAGTCATTTAGGGTTTTTGTTTGAAAAAAAAACTCGCACAGGGAAATCACATGATTATCGTCACTGCATCGTTTACACAAATAAAAGCTCCGTTTTCAAATTCTTTTTCCGTCCACACCAAAACGCAAAGCCGATGTTTTCAAATTCCTCCGATTTGAAGAGCGTTTAAGAAAATCTCTGTTTTCGTGACGGATTAGGGTGGACTATAGGCCTAACCGTAGAAATAAACTCGTTTTCAAATTTTTCCGACCAATTGTGGACGAGGCCTCAGGGTAGGGTCTAGGCGGTGTTGGGGTGGGGGGGATCATGTTTGTCATGGCCCTTCAGTCTGCGTGGGAATGCATTCCAAAACTAGAGTTAGTATGAGTGCGAGACTGAATACCAGTAGGACTTTTCAATTCTGATCCATCCGATTGTCTCGTTTGTCATAAGTCCTGCTCAACCAAGCCAACTGGTCCACAAAGCTGGGAGGAGCGAAGTTTCTGTTAGTAACTGGGTTAAAATTCAAACCAGCTCTCAACCTCTCACTTACCCTGCTAACTCATGATATTCTCACTGCTTTCTAAAGATCCCTTTGCCTTCTAATCTGAGCAGTAGCGGCTCCTAGATCGTGTGCACCGGATAAGTTCATTTCTCTAGCTAAATAGAAACATGTGCGACTTCACCGCTTGCTCGAAACTCCAAGTAATAAACCCTTTGACCAGACTAGCTTAGTATCTTGTCTTGATTGTTAGCATTCGTACTATTATTAGAGATAGACAATAAGATTTGAGGGGTAAGTTCTTGTTTATTTGTAATTCCTAGCATGTTGCCGGGTCATTATATTGTAATAAGTATTACAAATCAAGATTTTGGCTTAATAAAAAGCTTATTAAAAAGTATTTTTTTCTTTGTATTTTTTAACGAAAAGATTTCCAAATGGCATTTAATGTCTCGGAGCTCCGTGTTGCGAAATTCAGACCCATTACTGCCATTAGGGAACAGCAACTAATCAAAATGTTTCTCTATTTGCACAAGGTTGTCATATAATTAGAATATTGTCTTGTGTATGGAATAAGTTGTCGACTAAATGACATCTTTTGCATGCAATTTTCTCTTGTTTTATTTTAATGTTATGAAAGAAGCGCAGGTGTTCGTAGTTGGTAGCCTCTTTCAAAATGTTCAAGACCGGAAGGATACTGGCTTCCGTCTGTGACGTCACATGTAAAGCGTACGTGGCACAATCCCGTAGCGTATTATGGTCTACAGTCCTATAGCGCGGATACATCGTGACCGCCATATCTTATTCCTTTCTTTTGGTGTCGAACACGATGGCTAAGTCGTCTTCTCAGGCCGGATCGTCGCCTTACAGTGAGTACATCAGCAAGGCTGAAGACGTCGCCGATCAGATTCTTCGTAACAGCAAACATGTGCTCCCTCATTTCGCGCGGTTTTGTCTGATCTCGACGTTCTTCGAAGATGGATTTCGGATGTGGTTCCAGTGGGATGAACAGCGTGACTACATGGACCAGACGTGGCACTGTGGCTATGTGCTTGGAACGCTTTTCGTGCTTTACAATTTAGTTGCGCAGTTAGCGGGTTGTGTTATGGTCTTATCGAGACAGAAAGTTGAAATCGCCGTGGGAATGTTGTCGTCTGTTATTGTAGTTCAAGTAAGCAATTCACAGTATTACTTGTGCTTTTATTTTTCATCCTTTTCGCCCTCTTTTTTATTTCTTTTATAACATGTTTAACCAGTTGGAGGAGAATTGTTGTTTAGTCGTCGACCCGCTTTAATTTGTGGAAGGAATAAAAATATTCGTTTCCCATTCAGCGTCGTTTGAAAATTTTACCAGTGGACGGATCGGATCACGTTTCGCTTTCCATTTAAGGTTATTGCATTGGGCCCATTCATCATAATCAGAAATCGAACAGCATAATAAATAATTTAGAGTAGCAGCAAATAAACTTAAACCCAACTATCTGGTAATGTTACCTTACATAATTTTTCTCTTCCTTTTCAGACCCTGGCTTATAGCATCCTTTGGGATTTCAAGTTTTTGCTCAGGTGAGATTTCCTGTAGGCGCTAATTAGTAAACTTTAACCTATCGTTTTACCATAAAATTTTCTTTTGTACAAGCAATCACACGAATCCATCAGATTTTCGTAAAATAAGATGAAAATTTCTCCAAGATACTTTGCATGCTGTCATTGGTCATTTGACTGCTGTTTATATTGGGTGCTTTCCATTACATATACCAGACCAACCGTCCAGGAACCAGTGGGATTAACCTAGGAAAATGGAATGTCGTTTTTCGGTCAGACCTGGCCAACCAAAAGAAATGGCTCCTAGGATTTTGTACCGATTAGAGTGAGTCACCTCTTGAGATGGTCACAAATATCCTGGTCAGACCACACCAACATGGACCTTTCCATTTGACTTTGGACCAAAATGGATTTTTGGCGTAATGGAAAGCACCTATTCTCTCTGGCCCGAAAGTGTTGTTAACCCTGAGACTACAATGTGGGCACAAGTTTTCTGTGAGTTAGTAGTCAATGAGGCAAAGCTAAGTTTTCTATTGCTCATACAAATCAAGGGAAAGAAGTCATTGTTCTTGAATGCAGTGTGTAGACCACAGTTCTGTACCTGGCACCTTTTTATGAATCACAGGTCTGAGATTTTTATCCTGGAAGGGTTTGCTTGGATTTTCAAAGAAGACTGCAATCTTGGACAGAATAAAATGGAACAATTATCCCCCATCCCCCCAAAGCAATGATGAAGGCGCGAAGGAGCAAAAATGCGCCATTTTGGCATCATTGAAATGGGTGGAGGGGTGGTCCAGATGTTCCATTTATTTTGTCCAAGATTGTATTTAAGGTTTCACCGTGACAAGACAAAGGGAGCCAGTAATTAGGAACTAATATGTCAACGCATTTATCGGCAGTACAAGGA